CTCTCTCTCTCTCTCTCTCTCTCCTTTCTAGCTGTCATGTCCTGAGCTTCTTTCTTCCACCATGCCCTTCCACCATGATGTTCTGTCTCACCTTAGACCCAGAGCTATGGAGTCAGCCAACCATGGACTGAATTTCTGAAACCATGAGCCAAAATAAACTTTCCATTCTCTAAATTTTCTTGTCAGGTATTTGGTCACAGTGATGCAAAGCTTACTAGAATAAGGCTGAAATCAACTGGTCAGGCAGCCTACATCTTCATTTGGAGTTTCAAGAAAAGATCTACTTTTAGGCTGTCTCAGTTGGTTGACAGAATTTACTGGTAGCTATGTGACTGAGGTCCCATCCTCTTGCTGCCAGTCAGAGACTGTTGTCAGCAAGTTCACTCTCAGGTCTTTGCACGTGGCCTTCTTCACAGCAAAGCAGTTCCTTTTCTTAAAGGCAACAAAAGGACATATGCTGTAGCTGCAAATGTCTGACTTCTTGCCTCTTTACTTTTAAACTCTTTTTAAAGGGGCCCACCTGATTAGGTTCGGCCCACTCAAACTCAAGGGGAATGCATTATAGTAGTCTCACCTATATCCACAGTTTTTCTTTCCATGGTTTCAGTTATCCATAGTAAATTAGGGTTCAAAAACATCGATATTTATTTTTCTGATGAGAGAGAGATAGAGAGAAACAATGTTTGCATGTTTTTTATAGTATATTATTGTAATTTTTCTATTTTGTTATTAGTTATTTTTATTAATTTTTACTGTACTTGATTTATAAATTTAATTTTATCATAGATATATATGTATAAGGAAAACCATAGTATATGGGATTAGGTTCTATCCATGGTTTCAACCAACCACTGGGGGTCTTGGAAAAGACCAAAAGATCCACTGGGGGGTCTTGGAAAATATCCATCAAGGAGAAGGGAGGATTACTATATACGGGACGGGCACATTTGTAGGTGAGAATTTTAGGATCCTGCCTTCCACCAGATGGAATCTTAGGTCATTGTTTTTCATCTGTTTTTTAAAAATTTAAACATTAAATCTATCATTTTCCTCTAAATATTGCTTTGTTTGTATTGCACCAATATTGATATGTTGTAATTTCATTACCATCATTTCAAACTATTTCTCAATTTCTATTATTATTTCTTCTTTACTTATGCCTTATTAAAAAGTGTGCTAATTAATTTCCACAAAATTGTCATTTTTCCTAGATGTCTTTCTTTTAATTTTATTTCATTTCAGATAAAAGTCAAATACTCTGGTTGCTTTTAGTCCTTTGAAATTCACTGAAATTTGTTTAGTAATCCATTATATTGTCTGTCTCAGTGAACATAACATGTACACTTGAATGTAATGTGTATTTTCTAGTCATTGTGTACAGCAAATATCAATCATGTCAAGGTGGTTGAGAGAACTGTTGTAATTAACTGTGTCCTTACTGCTTGTTTTTCTAGCCATTCTTTCAATTTTTGAGAAGACCATTTAAATTTCTTTTCGTGATTGTGTGTGTGTGTGTGTGTGTGTGCGCGCGCGTGTAGCGCTGGGGACTAAAATCAGGGCCTTATGCATGCTAAGAAGGTACTCTACCACAGAGTTACATCTCCAAGCTCATCTTTCTGTGATGTTTTTTAAAATTTTTTAAATTAAATGTAGATGGGTACAATATCTTTATTTTATTTATTTATTTACTATGGCACTGAGGATCGAACCCAGTGCCTCATGCAAGCGAGGCAAGCGCTCAACCTTTTACCCTTAACAAACTTAGCTACATCCCCCGACCTTCTTTCTGTGATTTTTGAATTTAATATTTCTATTTTAAATTATGCCAGTTATTGCTTTATGCATCTTGAGAGTTTCTTGGATTTTGTTTTTATTAGTCACATATATAATAATTGTCAAATCTTCCTTAGAAATTGGCCTTTATTTTTATGATATATCCCTGTTTGTTTTAGGCAATGCTTTTTGTCTATAGGCCTATTGTATTTGATATGAATCAACCTACTCAAGCTTTATAATGCTTACTGTTTGCACTATTTATATTTTTCTGTATATTTACCTTTACCTTATCTTTTTTGTGTTCTGTTTATGATGTTCCAGCATACCATATATAGGACATCTATAAAAACTTAAGTTTTGCAGAGCTGGGATTGTGGCTCAGTGGCAGAGTGTTTGCCTTGCATGTAGGAGGCACTGGGTTTGATCCTCAGCACCACATAAAAATAAATAAATAAAATAAAAGGTATTGTGTCCATCTACAACTAAAACAAACAAACTTAAGTTTAACAACAAATATACCACCTATGGTAACTTATTGCTCAATTTAAGTTTTTACAAGTACCCTATATAGAACACTGAGATATAATGCGTTAAATGTATCTGATTATGGAAACATGAACTTTGATATTACTTTTTTGATTCAAGTTCTGACAGTCACTGCCCTTAACTTATAATAGATAACCTGTTATTAGAGTAACTATTAATTGCATCAGATTTAGTACTAATAAGTTATTACTTGTTTTCTGTTTGTCTTCCCTCTTCCTCTTTCTCTGTTCTTCTCTTCCCGATGTTTTTTGGGAGAAGAGGCAGTTGATTTGAATAGTTTTTAGAATTCTATTTTTACCCATCTATTAACTTTTAGTCAAATGTTTTTCATTATTATTCTTCATGGCTGCTTTAGAGATCGTAACATAGATCCTTACCTTTTCATGTTATAGTTAAAATTAATATAGTAACTCTTTATATAAAAGTAGAAAGCGTATAATCATATAAATTTATTGCACATTGCTTACTGACCTTTTTGTTATTGTTTTATTTTTATTTATCTAAATGTCATAATTCCCACAAATCATGAACACAACTTTTGCCTTATGCGGTTATACATGTTTGAAAAAAAATTAGATAAAGTAGTGTATTATACTTGACTTAGAGATTTATGATTTCTGATGCTCTTCATTTATTCCTGAAGATCCAAGCTTTCTAGCATCATGTCCTTTCAGGTGATGAATTATTATTTTTTTGATCGGGGTTTTAACCCAGGGACACTTTACCACTGAGCTATACCTCCAACCCCACCCTACCCCCTTTTTTTTGACACAAGGTCTCACAAAGTTGCTTAGAGCCTTGCTAAATTGCTGAGGCTGGCTTTGAACTTATGATCCTCCTGCCTCAGCCTCCCCAGCTGCTGGGATTATAGGTGTGCAACAGCATACTTGGCTCAGGTGATGAATTTTATTTAGCATTTTTTGTAGACTGCTGACAGTATATTTAGTTTTTCTTTATTTGGAAATACCTGCCTTTTCATTCACTCTTGAGAAATGTGTTGTTGTTTGTTTGTTTGTTTTGCAGTGCTGGGGATTGAACCCAGGGCCTTAGATATAATAGGCAAGCTGTCTACCACTGAGCTACACACGCCAACCCTTACTTTCCTTTACCCTTAAAAAATAGTTTCACTGGGTACAGAATTCTTGTTTGAATTTTTACTTTATCTCTTTAAATTTATTGTTCAGTTGTCTTCTGGTTTCTATGATCTCTGAAGAAAGTCTGCATCATTTTGGTAGTTACTCCCCTTGATGTAATGAGTATTATTCTCTGTTTTCAAATATTTCTCTTTGTTGTTTGGTTTAAGCCAGTTTGAGATATACCTAGGCATTTTTTTCCTAACTATTCTTTTGGACTCCACTAAGCTTATTAAATTACTAAATCTATGGTTTTCACTAAATTTCTGGTCATTGTTTCTTCAAGTAATTTTTTTTTCTGGAACTTCAATTACCTGTAGGTAAGTCATGGGATTTTTTTTCCTCTCATAGATTCCTGTTTCTCTTTCCATCTTTTCCTATCTTTTGTCTTTCCATATTTGTATTGGACAGTCTTATTTGTCTACCTTAAGTTCACTGGCTCATTTTGCCAGTAAGCCCATTTGTTGATTATTTTTATCTCAGCTATTTTTTAGTTGTAAAGCTTACATTTTCTATTTCTTTGCTGAGATTTCCAGTTTTTTAATTCTCTATGAGCATAATTATGATGGCTTCTTTAAAGTGTCTGGTAACTATGTTAATTTTACAGTTAGCATTTGTTTCTTGTCTTTTCCCATAGTGCAGGATGAGCTTCTCCTGTTTCTTCTTACGTTGAGTAATTTGAGATTGAATCATGAACATTGTGAATGCTGTATTGTAGGGCTCCAGATGCTGTAATACTGAAGTATAACAATTTTACCAGATTACAAACTACATCAGTGTCTGTCAATAGGGGACAGATTGGTATAATGGAATACCATAAAGCAATTAAAAAGAACTATTGTCAATATATTATATAGCAGCCCAGATGAATCTGTAAAAAGGTATGTTGAATGAAGAAATCCAAACACAAAAGTACATTCTAATTATTTGATTTACATGTAGATCACAAACAGAGAAGACAAAACAAGAGACACAGAAATCAGACAGGTGGTCACTTCTAGGTGCAGGTGTTTACATGCAGAAACATCTAAAGTCCTGTAAATGTTCTATATATTTATCTGGTTGATAATTAGATAGGTGTATATATATTTAAAGAATCATTAATTGTTCTTTTCAATTTGTGTGTTTCACTGCCTATTATCTCTCAATATTCAGCATAAACATTTACAAAGAAATATCTCATTATGTTTAAGGAGTACTTAATTCAAATCTTAACTCCTCACAGTATAGAATAGTGGTGATATCTCTTTTATCATTTTTCTTTATCTTCCAATTTAGTTTGCATATATTTTGTGTGGAGAATTTATAATATTAGAAAGATCTTAAGAATATAATATGAAATGGAATCTTATATTATTTATAAAGCCCCCTCCAATACTAAATAATAGATAAAGGCTGAATTGTAGTTTTTAACTTCTCCAAATTATACACACCAAAGGAAACTAAAACATGTTTAAATTCATGTTTACAAAGCTTGGTTTCCATTGCATAAGTAACAACAATGAGTTATATGAAATAGAATTTTCTAGAATCTAGTCTTGCTCTGGTGCATCTTACTTTGGAAATCACTATTTTACTTAAATATTGTGTTTCATACAATGACTCTGGTACTTTATCTCTCTAAATTTTTCTAAGTTTCTATAAACTTTAAACCTTTTTATTTTCAAAACTCATTTCTAAATAATCATTATTTAATGGTGGACACATTTTTTTTACATAATGGAAGCACACATGTAATTTTCCATATAATGTGCTGCAAGTTAGCAAAGCTCTATCACTTTTAAAACATGTCACTGAATTTTGCACAGTTAACTTCAGCAAATCGCTCAGGTTAGCTACATTCTAGATGAACCGTATTAGAAGAATTGTCTTAACTTTCATTAACATTGTCAGCAGAAGCACTGGTAGGGAGAAACAAGTAGAAAATTTAGGAATGAAAGAAAATTAGTTTAAAGATAATTAGATTAAAGATAATATAATAATTAGAATTGCATCAAGTTTTGAGTTAAGTAATCAAATGAAACATGCCAAGTATTAAAGTCAAGGAAAACAGTTTTGTCAGATCCTTTTTCAGGGACAGAACACTTGCAGTCTCTTGAAAACAATGAAGAAATAATCAGTCAGCTGTGTGGAAAAAGTAGAAGTGGAAATGCTTAAAGTAATATATGGATTATATTACACGTAATAGTTCCTACATGGTGCGGAGTAAAATTTTCAAGTGATTGAATTCTATGTTATTAGGCCTTCTTATTTACATAAATGCCCTAGTAATTCAACTATTAATAAACCACTCTTTTATTACAGGAAACACAGTTACTTCATTTGCATGATGAATAAGGAAGACTTTTTGAGAAAAATAGTGATGAGAAAAAAACTGTTACTTCATTACAGTTTTTGGTGCTTGACATCAGTTGGGCTTTTCTCCCATGTGGCATATGAATTAGATGAAATTAGAATTTCGTCTATTCATATGTTTAAGGAAAGCAGAGATCATAGAAAACTGTGTCTACTTTCCATAGGTCACTAAATATGACTGCAAATTATAGTTAAGAGAAATAATTAAATAATGACCTTTTAAATATGGTGCTTTTATGGCATTGACTTTAAATAGTCATAGAAACAAAATGGAGATACAACCCATAAATATTTTTGTACACTTAACTATCCATCTACCTTTCATGTGTGTAAACACATGTGTGTGCACACGTGTGTGTGTGTGTGTGTGTGTGTGGTGCTGGTGTTGGAACTCAAGGCCTCACACATTTTGTTGCATATGGATTTACAGTTTTTCCCAGCATCATTTGTTGAAGATGCTATCCTTTCTTCAGTGTATGTTTTTGGCACCTTTGTCTAATATAAGATAATTGTAATTTTGTGGGTTAGTCTCTGTGTCCTCTATTCTGTACCATTGGTCTACCAGTCTGTTTTTGTGCCAATACCATCCTGTTTTTGTTGCTATTGCTCTGTAGTATAGTCTAAGGTCTAGTATAGTGATGCCACCTGCTTCATTTTTCCTGCTAAGGACTATTATTTATTTTCGATTGTAGCCATGTAAGCAGGTATAAGTGGTACTCTGCTATGCTTTCAATTTGAATTTTCCTAATGGTTAATTATATCAAGCATCTTTTTATGATATTTATTTACTTTTTCATCTCATTTTTTTTCTTTTTCTTGGGGATTGAACCTAGTACCTTATACTCGCAGAGAAGATGCTCACCAGGGAGCCACATCCCCACCCCATCAGTGAAATTTTTTGAAGCAAAGAATGAAGTAAACATGTACCACTGGGGCTGGGGTTGTGGCTCAGTGGTAGAGCACTTGCCTAGCAAGTGCGAGGTGCTGGGTTCTATCCTCAGCACCACATAAAAATAAATAAAATAAAGGCATGTGTCCCAACAACAACTAAAAAAAAAAAATGTACCTCAATCCTCCATCTTGATTCAGATGTCTTTTTGTTTATATGAGAAATACAAAGTTATGCTTTCCTCCTGTTTTAGGCAGCACAACAAGCAATTAACCATAACTGTGGAGATCTTGGAAATTTATTAGGTAAAGAGAACGACTTGGCCCTAATTATTGATGGTGAAACATTGAAGTATGCCTTAAGGTTTGAAATTCAGAAGAAGTTCCTAGATTTGGCCCTTTCATGTAGAGCAGTATTATGTTGTAGGTAAGAATATTCATTCTTCATTTTTTTCTCTGTTGTACTTACTACTGTATTAACAGTACAGTATATGAAGAAAATCTAGAACTGAAAATGTAAATTTCTTTAGAGACAACATTTCTTATTGGGAAAATGCATTCTCAAACAGAAATGCAAAAGTCTGTATTGAATTCTAATTGTCAGGATTAAGATTTACAGGAAAGCAGTTAAAAATTTTTCAAATGTAAATTGCTTATTAATGAATGATAAGTTGGAAGAAATCTGCTATAATAACAAAGGTCACAGAATTTCTTTTGCATGCTAACAAGATGTCTGGTGGTTGGAAACTCTAGATAGCTTCAGGACAGGAAGAGATCATAAGAAAGACCAAAACAGGATTAAAGATTTGGAACTTTTCAACCCTATCCCTCACCTCTTGGGAGCAAAAGGGGCATAAGTTTAAATTGATCACCAATGGCCAATAATCAATTATGCAACATAATGTATCTTCCTATAGGCATCCAAAGTGCTAGCTTTAGAAAGTTTCCAGATAGCCAAAATGTAGAGGTGCCTGGAGGGTGGGAGAAAGCATGGAGGCTTCATACCCTTTCTCCATGCATCTCTTCATCAGCACCCTTTGCAACAAACAACAACAGCAATAACAAAAAAAGTGTTAGTAAAAACTTCCCTGAGTTCTGAAGCCACTCTAGCAAATGAGTCAAACCTGTGGAGGAGGTTGTGGAACATTTGTTAGAAGTGGGGTGAGGGTGGTTTTGGGCACTGAGCCCCTAACCTGTAGCATCTGACACTACATCCAGTATGATAGCTTCAGAATTGAATTGTATTAGATGACACCCTGTTGATGTCCACTGGAGAACTGATTGGTTGCTTGGTGTGTGGAGAAATACCCCCAACCACATTTGGTCACTGTATTAGTTAGCCATTTCACTGCTGTGACTAAAAGATCCGACCAGAACAACTGTAGAGGAGGAAAAGTTTATTTGGTAATTCACAGTTTTAGAGGTCTCAATCCATAGATAGCAGGCTCCATTCCTAAGGGCTCAAGGTGAGGCAGGACATCATGGCGGAAGAGTGTGGCAGAGGGAAGCAGCTCACATGGTGATCAGAAAGCAAAGAAAGAGAGACTCCACTTGCTAAATACAAAGTATATAACCCAAAGCCAGGCCCCAATTCCTACCTTCTCCAGCCACACCCCTCCTGCCTCCAGTTACCATTCGGTTAATCCCATCAGGGATTAATTCATTGATTAGACTAAGGCTATGACCCAATCATTCTCTTCCAAACCTTCTTGTATTATCTCACACATGAGCTTCTGGGGGACACCTCACATCCAAACCAGAAGAGTCACGTTTGGTCTGCTCATTAGTGCTCAGAAGCATTCAGTGTTGTGTGTTGAGTACAGATTAGGAAAAACTGAGTTTGTTTTTAATCTATGCCCTTACTATCTTGCATAAATTGCCCCAATCCTTATTTCCGTTTTCCTGAATGGGACCACTATGGGAATTTTGTGCTGTTTCAGCCAACAAAATTACAAGACAAACTTTGCCAGATATGAATGCAAAGACCATTTAATGGATGGAATGACATCAATATTGGTACAACCATAGAACTTGTGAGATATGGCTTCGTGCCTGCACATGGAACATAGCTTTATGTGGTTTTATTGACTGAAGCTTAATATTAAGGTAAATGTCATTTTAGATTTTATTTTCACAAATTTGGTAAGGTAGGTGTAAAAATCCAAAAGGGTGAGATTCCATTTTTATCCTTATCTGGTAAGGACTAATTTGGAGTTTTAATGAAAGACTCAGAACTACCTCGTGAAATTAATAGCAACTTGATGTTAAGCAGAAGGAGGGCTTAAAGGTCCCAATCACTCTCCTACTGTATTTATAGAGCTCTGATTGGCCCAGGGAATGGAATTAAGGTTTGAAAATATGAAGTCAGATTTGGGATCGATACAAGTTTGTGTGTGTGTGTGTGTGTGTGTTACGTACGTACATACATTTGCATTTCTCACAGATATGGTAGTCTGAGTGTGAAAGTGGTTGTCCGACCAGATGGTAAAGTTATTAACATTGGAAGTTTTCTAGTAAAAGCACCAGTGTCTTGGTGGGAACACATACCTGATTTCTAACATCTACTTCAGAAAATGTTCACTCTTTTCCACTCTGTTTCACAAGGTGGTGATTTTAATTCATTATGTTCTCTTGATTATGAAACAAAAGTTCTAACACATTTGTTTTAGTCAGCTTTTTCACCATTCTGAATGAAAGACCTAACAACAATTTTAAAGAAGCAAGAGTTTGTCAGCGCTCACATTTTGGAGATCTCAGTCCATAGAGTCCTCAGGGTCCAAGGAGAGGGAGAACATCATGGCAGAAGAGTGTCACGGAGGAAAGCAGACCAGAACATGGCACCAGGAAGCAGAGAGAGTTCTCCCAACAACAAATAAAATATAAACCCCAAAGGCATGCTCTCAGTGTCCCACCTCCTTGAGCTGTACCCCACCTACCTACAGTTAACACCCAGTTAATCCCTATCAGGGGATTAATGTACTGATTAGGTTAAGTCTCTCACAACCCAATGGTTTCACTTCTAATCTTTCTTGCCTTATCTCACACTTGAGCTTTGGGGGTCACCTCATACCTAAACCATAACAGCATTCTAATCAAGGAAACCAACTATCTCCTTAGTTTTTAATAAACTCATCTAATTTAATTTAAATTAGTTTTTAGGAGCTTTTTTTGAGAGAAAGGAATGGTGAGGTCATTCACTTACTAGAAAATAAAAATAAAATCTTTGTGTAGCCATCATTTTTTGATAGAGCTATAAGTCAAATTATTGAGTAAATGAAACAATGAGTGATAAATAGGAAAAAAGCATTTTGCTGCTTCTTCCTTTGAATCTTTGAAAATATTTCATGCACAGACAGGACCTGCTAGCCTGAAATTATTTAGGATTATTAAATTTGTTTTTGTAGATTGTCTCAGGAAAAAAAAATCAATGATAATATTCTAATCTGTGAGAAGGAAACAAGATTTCATGCTGTTACATCACTTGTGTTTGTTGTTAGTTACCAGAGCCCAACTTTGACTCTATTTAAAATAAATAAATAAATTTATATATATAAATCTCCTTGAATGAATTCAAGTTCAAAGGGGTGTAATTTGATTTTCAAAGGCTACTTCATATCCACACTTAGGGTAAAGACTTTTAAATAGTGTCATAAATAGGAGATATCTGTCTTTCTCTCATGTAGGTAGCTAATGTAAATTAATATGCAGGTTTGAGTCACACAAGAGTGAGTGGGGGATCTCTCTACATGTAAACTGGGAAACTATAAGAATTTATTTTGCAATGTTGAAGAAGTTACTATGTTATTTATTTATTTATTGGTGGAAGTGATGAGAACATTTTTGTATATGACAAAAGTTTCATTAAAGAATTGGAAAACTTATGCCTGCACATGGAACATAGCTTTATGTGGTTTTATTGACTGAAGCTGGGGTTGTGGCTCAGTGGCAGAGCGCCTGCCTCGCATGTGTGAGGCACTGGGTTCAATCCTCAGCACCACATAAAAATGAATAAACGAAATAAAGATACTGTGTCCATGTATAACTAAAAAAAATATTTTAAAAAAGAATTGGAAAACTTAGTATCTTCCATTTAAATGTAGTTATGTGCTGATTATCGTTGACTTTTTTTGTAAAAACTTTTAGAATAGTGTGAAGTAAAATGAACCTAAACACAACCTTTAAAAGTGGTTCTGTCTATCTTCCTTTTCAGGCTATCTCCCCTCCAGAAAGCTGAAATAGTGGACTTGGTGAAGAAGCATGAAGAGGCCATCACTCTTGCTGTTGGGGATGGTGCCAACGATGTGGGGATGATCCGGATGGCCCATGTGGGAGTGGGGATCAGTGGGAATGAGGGCATGCAGGCCACCAACAACTCAGATTACTCCATTGCTCAGGTCAGTGCTGTGGGACACCGGCTGGTCATGGGAGATGTTGATGAGTTCCATCTGCCCCTGAGGTGTACCTAACCTCTCTAAGCTGCCTCGTAAGGAAAATTACCACACATTTGGAGTTCTTAAAGTTTTTATCCTTATACACTTTGGAGTTTCATTGATCAGCTCTGCAGATAGGTCAAACTAATGCCACTAAGAATTTATAGTCCTGTTAATATAATCTCTAAATCCTCAGTCTCCTCAAAATGTGTATTTTGCTTTGTGGTATCTTGTGACAAAGATTTATTAAAGACATATAATCTCTTAATTTCCTTTTTTATTGGCAGTTTTTTTTAAAAAAATATTGTTTAAAGCAGCTTTGGATTCACAGAAAAACTGAGCAGAAGGTACAGAGATTTCCCATGCACTGTCAACAACCCCACGCCCGAAGTGGTATAGCTGTTACAACTATAATCCTACATCCATGTATCTTAATCACCAAAAGTCCAAAGTTTACATTATGGTTCACTCTTGATGTTGTATGTTCTATGGATTTGAATAAATGTAAAATGATAGGTATTCACCATTATAATATCATACAGAGTAGTTTCCCTAAAAATCCTCTGTGCTCTATCAGTTTATTCTTCCACCCATCTACCTCCTGACTACTACTGATCATTTTCTATTACCATAGTTTTCCAGAATGTTATGTATTTGGAATCATGCAGCATATAGCCTTTTTGACTGACTTCTTATACTTGATATGCATGTAATTTCCCCCATGTCTTTTCATGATTAAACAGCTTATTTATTTTTAGCACCAAATAATATTTCATATTCTAGATTGCCAATTTGTTTATCCATTCCCCTACTAAAATTCATCTTGGTTTATTTCAACTTTTGGCCATTGGACTTAAAGTGTCCATAAATATCCATTTGTGAATTTTTGCATGGATGAACACAAGTTTTCAATTCCTTTGAGTAAATATCAAGGAGTGGGATTTCTGGATTGTGTTATAAATGTTTTGTTTTGTAAGAAACTGACAAATTATTTCCAAAAGTAGATATTTAAGAACAGTGTATACTCATGATTTATAACTGCATTTTTTACATAGGGACCAGTTGTAAATAATTCTGTATTTTTTAACATAGGGATCAATAGCTGAATTCCTGGGTGAAGTGGCCATTATTTGGCCAATGACCCTGAAGCTGGGAACAAGCAAGTTTGCTCACCAAAACATTGTTATCTTTTATTGATTTATAAAGCAGTATCATCTAAGTGATATTCCAACTTCCCCAGGCAGAATAATCACAATCTTGTTAAAGGAAATTCCCTTTAATGTCTGTATGTGTCAAGTTTTTGCTGCTATAAAAAATTACCTAAGGCAGGCTACTATGAAGAAAAAGGTTTATTTAGCTCTGTTTAGGAAATTCAAGGACATGGTGCCTACATTGGTTGACTTCTAGTGAGGACCCTCTAGCTGTCTAACAACATGGTGGATAGCAATGGTAGAAGCATATGTGGGAATACATGATTACATCTTGGTACAAAAAGCCAAAGAAGCCTGGCTGAGGCCAAGCTCAGGCCTTTATAATAAGCCTCTCAAGTGTGCTCCCAAAGGGTCCCATGACAGTTGCCTTAATTTCTTCTGAGGGCAAGGCCCCAATCACCTACATATCTCCCCTTAGGCTCCACATCTTGAAGGCCCCACACCAGGTGCCAATATTGCTACTCTGGGGACAAAACTTCCAACACATGGATCCTTGGAGATCAGACAACATCTAAACCATAGCAATAGCCATTTCTTGATTGATGTTTTCATATGGAAGCGGCCAACCTCACGATTATGGGGACTAGAGGCATAGAACCAATTAAAACTATGGGCTAACATTCACCAGAATCATAGAGATAGCACCACACAATATCCTTTACTACTTAACAAAAACATTTTCCTGTTTTTACACTTTAGTATTTTGACTTTTGAAGGATATAATTTTTATTTAATAATTTAATATTGACTTTTAATGACTACAATATTTTCATCACATTCTACCAATTAGCAGCAACACTTTTCAGTCTTGCTGAATTCAGAAGCTTCATGTAATCTTTGAAAATCTCCCTAGAAATACCCACAGGACTCTGGGTAGGTTATCCTTATTTGGGGCAGTTGTTATTGTAGCCTCTCTCTGAGAAGCTATATGATTTTTTAATCCACTCACAGGTTAGTAGATACCTGAAGCTAAAATGGTGACATCATACTTTTCTCCTCTTCTCCTCCTTTTTTTTTTTTTTAAAAAAAAATATGGTGCTTGTTATCAAACCCAGGGCCTTGCATAAGTGAAGCATACACTTTACCACCAAGCTATGTCCCCAGCTGTACAGCAAACATTCTTAGAGGTCCATATTTGAATCAGATCAGTTCTAACCTACATATGCATGGATTAAATGTGCTGTTGTATAGAGAGGTAAACTGTGGCTCCTGTGTGTTAGGAGGTCTGAGTTGAGAAGCATGCTATTTGCTTATGATCATAGCATCTGTCTATAGACAGGAAATGGTCGCACCAAATTCCCTCATATCTTTTCCTTAAGCACCAACTACCATTGAGACACATGCTTCTCATAGTCTCAGCAATTATATATGATATAACCTTGAATTTTTAAACACCATAAATGCACAATACTGTCAGGGATCAGCTACATTGGAGTCTTAAAGGAATAGTTGTTTGCCATTTTCTTATGTATGTCTAAGAAAGAGACTACAGCCTTTCCTTTTAAAACCAAAGTCTTAATGGGATTTAAAATTATGAGGTTGTTCTCTTTGGAGTTAAAGAAAAATCCAGAAGGGAGGTAGGATTTTTGTGAGCTTTTGTTCTAGGAGATCAGCATTTGTCCTCATGCAGGGCACTTTACACTCTCGAGCACCTGCCATCTGAATCCTCTTTGACCTTTGTTCTGGACTCCCTCATCACAGCTGCATTTGTGGTTAGGCAGACAGTACAACTTTTTAGGCTTTCTTTTCCTCCTCCTGGATGTCCCAAAGTTGACACACCAAGCAGTCCCTAATGTAGTGTATTGGTTTGATTCATGCTTTGGCCCCTATTAAAAAGTTATTTCAGATTTATAGAAGCACTTTAAGTCACATAAATTTGCTTTCCCACTTTATTTTAAGCAACAGCAACTTATATTGGAGCTAGAAAGAATAGTGCTACCATAATGTGTGATACTACTTTCCCCCAGAATGATGCTTACCCCCCGTATTGTGGTGGAAATTTGTCTATTTCTGCCCTATCTTCATTTTACCCTTATCTGAGTTTCAGTGTTAGGTCAACAACCAACCATCATTTTGCCTTATGACCTCTTGGGTACAACTTTCCCCTGCCCAGAGCACATCAGTATAATATTCCGTTCAAAACTCTCTGATGAGAATCCATTATTTGCTATTTCCTCCCCAAATGTCTTACTATTTTAAAACTATCCTAATAAATAGAGAGCTTTGATTTAGAATTTTTTTTTCACCCCTGGAGATAAATCATTGCAAAACTAAAAACTGATAGGAATAGAAATGTTGTGTATAGTGACTCAAGTTTATTATCTGGTTCTGGGTTTCAAATGTTCTTTTCAAATTTACTTATTTTTGGTATAGTTATGCATCTTATGATTAAACATCTCCCTCCCTATCCTGCCCTTTCATGTTCCACTGTTAATATTTGTTTTAAAGGTTAATTTTTTTTTTTGGTATATGTACCAACTTCTGTCACTTTGAAGTCACTGTTTAAATTAAGGACTTAACTAAATTACCATGAATTGCCTCATTTTGTAGAATAACTCGTGAATATACATTCATTTAAAACATGTTTATTGAGACCCTGCCACATTCTGGGTATGTTGCTAGGTATGCTGGATTGGTCAATGAACAAAGTAAACAATGAGTCCTGCCCTCCTAAGGTTTAGAAATGTTTCCCAAAGGCCCACTTGTTAAAGGTTTGGCCCCCAGCCTATGGCACTATTGGGAAGGGGTGAAGCCTCTAGGAAGTGGGGCCTCGTGGGAAAAAGTCAGTTCTTTGGGAACAGGTCCTTGAAGGGAATATTGGGAACCCTATGCCTTCATTTCTTTGTCTTTGCCTTCTGACCACCATGTGGTGAACAACTTCCATCTTCACATACTCTCACCATGATATGCTGCCTCGTCACAGGCCCAAATAAAAGGTGCCAACTGACTGTGGCCCCAAACCACTAAAACCATGAGGCAAAACAGATCTTTTCTCTGTACAAGTTGATTGTCTCAGGTATTTGGTCACAGCAATAGAAAGCTAACTCATGTCCATATGCAGCTTACATTGCAATGAATAAATCCAGTACGTCTTACACTGGAAGAAAAGCAAAAAGAAGATGGGGGTGAGAGATTCAGGAGTGTCCCAGAGTCCTGCCCTTTTGTCCTTGTTACATTTTTTGTTTATATTTTTTATTTATTATAGGAAACAGGGAACTGATTCCTACAAGACATTATTACTTCAACCTAATCAGACAAAACACTCAGTGATTGAATCTGAGTTTCCTGTTTCCAATATGATGTTTTTTTTTATTAAATAATTCTGACTCATTCTTATGATTAAGATCCTAGACGTGTATTTAGTTAAGACCCAGGCACAAAAAACAAATATTATTTTGAAAAATCCATACCTGTTATTATTAATAACAAAGCACCATTTGCTGGACAAAAAATGATATTTAATGGTTTATTTTTGATGTTACTGTTGAAACAAGAGAATTCTTAAAAAGGTCATTATAGCCAAGTGCCATGTCAGATTGTTTTAGGACTAATGTTCATTCTCTCCTCTTCTACATTACATTTGCTAAAGGGGGAACTGCTAAATTATGAAATACTGGGAACATAATACTTTGTGGGTTTTCACACTAAATGGTAGTTTCATTTGAACTTTTGTTGACTATTGTTTCTTTTCAATTTAGATACTTGGAGAAGCTTCTGTTGGTTCATGGAACTTGGAACTATTTTCGAGTGACCAAATGCATATTGTATTCTTTCTACAAGAATGTAGTGCTATACATTATTGGGGTAAGAAAGGAGATGCATTTCATTTTCTTTCTTCAAGGAATTAGGTCTTTTCTGTGATTTAGACTTGGTAATTAAAACTTTTTTCATATTAAAGTATTATCAAAAGAAAATTCCTTATAACTAAATTTAGCAGTTTACTTGAGCAAATCAAGACCAAAAAAAATTGTTTCTTGATTATGTTCTGATTCTTTACTAACCCCCAAAACTAGAGCAAGTTATGAGAATTCTAACCAACAATGTGATCTGATAGCATTGATGAAAAACAGAAGTGAGACCTAGAAAACAATTTAACAACACCTTGAATAATCAGTCAATGGGTTACAACTAAACTAATTAATTGCTTACAGCTTAATTAGTTAATTGTCTACAATTCCTCCTGCAACCAACCAAAGCTCAGGTACTGTGATTCAACTCTATTCTGGTTTGGACTGCTGGGCCCATTACAGGTGCCTGTTCTAAATCCATGGATCCCCACAGATTTTATTTAACAGTGCTGTTAACAAAATCCTGCTTCAAGTTTTTGCCTATAGAAGTGACTAAATAAAAAGTGTCAATTAAACATCTTATAATATCATGATGACAGACACCAGACACCTACTCACCCAAACACAGTTAGGTCTGTTAGCTCTAGATTCTTCCAGTGATTAAACATACCAGATATCTTTGTGCTTCCTTCCACTAAAGGATAGGAATGAGCCTGGAATTTTCAGTGTTACCACCACAGAGCTTGTGCAGATGTCATCAATTTTAGATGCATTGATGTGTGCATGAATATGTGCACTGTGTTCTTGCACTTTTATCCATGTGTAGATTCATGTAACCACCCACTATAGTAATCAAGATACATCAAGATACATAACTATTACATCACTACAGGGGGATTTTCTTCATGCTACCTTTTTACATCCCTACCCATCTCTAACCACTGGCAATGGCTAATCTATTCTCTAATTTTACAATGTTCTATAAAATTTCAACCAAATAATATGTCATCTTTTCAGATGAGATTTTTTTTTACTCAGTATAATTCCCTTCAGATTTATCCAAGTCATTGTGTGCATCAGTAGTTTATTCTTTTTTATTTTTAGTAGTTTGTTGTTTTTTTATTGGTGTGTTATACTTACACAATTTATTTACCATGGACATGTGGAAAAACATTTGTTTTTAGTTTGGTGCTAATAAAAATAAAATTTGTGTGAACATTTGTGTTTAGGTTTATGTGAGAAGTGCACAATTATTGAGTCATATGGTAAGTGCATGCAATTTTACAAGAAACTTCCAAACTATTTTCCAGAGTGGTTTTACCATCTTAAAATTTCTACCAATAATGAAACAATTATCCTGTTTCTCCAGATATTTGCCAGTCTGAGATATCATTACTATGTCTTTTTTAACTTTTTTGATGTGTAGAAATATCTATTTTAGATTAAAATTAGATTTTCTTACCGGCTATTGATGTTGAATATCTTTTTATATATTTATTTGCCATTTATGTATATATTTTGGAAATGTGTCCCCATATCTTCTGTCCATTTTATAATTATATCATTAGGGTTGTTTTGTTGTTGTTGTTTTACTATTATGAAACGTTTTCACATATTCTAATTATTATTTCTTTGCCAGGTATATAATTTGCAAGTATTTTCTTTCAGTCTGCAACTTGTTACCTCATTGTCTTAACAGGGTCTTTCACAGAATAAACATTTTTAATTTTGATTAGGTCCAGTTTATCTAGTTTTTCCTCGTATGCTTGTAGCATCTTGTAGCATCATATCAAAAAAAAAGTTTTTTCTAGCTTTAGGTTCCAAATATTTTCCTGTATATATTTTTTAAAAGCTCTGTATGTCATATTTAATTTCATGGTCCATTTGCAGTATAAGATGTGAGGTTTTGCTTGTCTTTCTTTTGCCTATGGATGTCCAATTGCTTTAGTGACATTTGATGAAAAGGCTCTCCCTCCTCAATTAAATCACTTTTGCACCTTTGTCAGAAGTCAGTTGGGAAAATAATAGAGAAATAGAAAAAATATGAAGAGACTTACAAGTAATAAGGAGAGATTGACTCAATAATTAACCCCCCCACCCAACAAAGTGCAGCAGTAGATAGCTTCACTAAAAAGTTCTTCCAATCACTCAAAGAGGTAACATCATTTTCTCAGCTTATCTAAAACTTGAAGAGGACTCATTCTACAAGGTCAGAATCACCCTAAGAGCAAGGCAAAACACACTATAAGAAAACTATAGACCAATGTTCTTGATGAATGTTAATGAAAAATCATAAACAAAATACTAACAACTCAAATTCAAGAGCATATTAAATTTATCCTATTCTAAAACCAAAGAGATTTTGTTATGCAAGGGCTCAGACCCAGGAAACATTTGGAATCCTGGCAGGTGAAAGAAGATGCAAGACATGGTTGAGTCAGCCTTTATTCAGAGGTGGAAACAGCCTCAGCCAGTTTCAGCTTTAGACCCACCCAGTTCCATTTTGCTCCCATCAGTTCCATTTAGCCCACTTTTGAATACAGTCTAAACAAAGAAGGCACACTGCCAACAGCTTACACCAGTGCTCACATGCTCACAAGCAAATGTTTGTGACCTTGAGTATGCACACTGAATCAGTGTTTCTGACCTTGACTACACACTAGTCATGGCCTTGTCTACATGATAAAAACATAACATAAAACATAACATAGCCTGCTGGAAGCCTCTGCAAGGAAGCCTAACTGGCCTTCCCCAACAGATTTATTTCTGGAATGCAAGAATGTTTTCACATGCAAAAAATCAACCAATATAACACCCTACATTAACATAATTAAAGATGGAAAATCACATGATTACTTCAGTTGATGCTGAAAAAGCATTTCAACACAATTTAACATCCCTTATTTGATAAAACACTTAACAAATTAGGAAGAGAAAGAAACTACCTCAGAATAATAAAGGCCACATGTAAAAATCCCCCAGCTAACATTGTAGTCAATGGTAAAACACTGAAAACCTTCTAAGATCAGAACCAAGACAAGGATGCCCATGCTAACTACTTCTATTCAACATAGTATTGGAAGTTCTAACTTGAGCAATTAGGCAAGAAAAGGAAACAAAATGCATTCAAATATTTAAAAAGAAATAAAATTATCTCTATTAACATATGATATGCTTGTATATGTAGAAAACTTAAATATTTCACACAAGATATTAGAACTAATAAATGAATTCAGCAAAGTTGCAAAATACAAAAATCAGCTGTGTTTCTATACACTAACATTGAACAATTCAAAAAGGAAATTAAGGTAACAATCCCATTTACAATAAAAAGTAAAATGAAATACTTGGGAAAAAACTTAATAAAGACACATATATGAAAACTAAAAAAATATTGCTGAAAGAAATTGAAGAAAGCATAAATAAATGTAAAGACATTTTATGTTTATCAGTTGGAAGAATTAATGTTGTTAAGATGTTAATTTTACCTGCTATAGCTTGGATCATGAACGTACTCCAAAGGCCCTTGTGTTAAATGCTTGGTCCCCAACTGTGACACTATCGGGAGGCAGTGATACCTTTCAGAGATGGAGTCTGGTGGGAAGATATTAGAATATTAGAGACATGCCTTAAAGGGGTACAGGGATCTTGGTCCCTTTCTTTCTCTCTTTGCTTCCCATCCACCATGAGATGAGCAGGACTCTGTCAGGTCCTCACTGTGATACACTGTGACGCCACAGACCCAAAGCACAAAGACAAGCTGAAGCCTCAGAAACCATGAACTGAAATCTATCTTTTTCTCTCCTTTATTTGCTTATCACTGGGCACGATGATGCATGTCTGTAATTTCAACAGTTCAGGAGACTGAAGCAGGAGGATTGCAAGTTTGAGGCCAACCTTGGCAATTTAGTAAGACCCTGTCTCAAAACTTAAAAAAAAAAAAAAAAAAGATAAAAAGGACTGGGCATGTAACTCAGGAGTAAAGTGCCCTTTGGTCCAATCCCCATAACAAATAAACAAAAAAGAATTCACTTTAAATTGATCATCTAAGGTATTTTTGTCACAGTGACAGAAAGCTAACACAAAAATTTGGTACTGAACAATATGGCCATTGCTGTGACTGCACCTTAGAAAATGTGGAAAAGACTTTGCAGTTGATTTGCATAAGGAGTTTGGAAGTTTGAGGGAAAAGGTAGAGAAGTCTAGAGTGCTATAAGAAAAGTTTAATGGACAATTCTGGTAAGGGCTCAAAAGACCAAACTGTTGATAGAAATGCAGATAATAAAGGCCAACACGAGTAGGTTTCACATAGGAATGAAGATTGTATTTGCAATTGAATTACAGGCTGTCCATATTACATGTGGCAAAGAATTTTGATTTTTTTTTTTTTTTTGGTCTATGCCCTGAGACTTTGTAAGAGGACCAATTTAAAGGTGATAGACAAGTTAAGGCAACACATAGTTCAGGCTACAGGATGGAAATTTACAGTGAAAATTAGGGGCAAAAGTCAGAATGGAAAGATTTGAAAAATTCAAAGTTTGCAAGAAAAGAGGTGTGTTTAAAGATGCAGAAAAGCAGCATGTAGAGATGAGTGGTATTAAAAAGAAGCCAAGTACTTTGCACCAGGAAAATAGGAAAGATACTTTGACCATATTTCAGGAATCAGGATACCCCACCCATTGCAGGCTGAAAGGTGCAAAAGTGTGAATTCACTTCAAAGACATTCACTTGAGGAGAGAACCCCAAGGTGCCCTCTTCACAATATTACTACATTAAAAAATAAAAGCTTAAAAACTGGTTCAGTATATTTGTGTAGATCTCCTTATGGATTCTCTAATCTGACCCGTTGATGAATATGAATATCCCTGTGCTGATACCCTGTAGTCAGCTTTAACATTGGGTAGAGTGATTTCTCTCACTTTATTTTTGTTTTTTAAAATTGTGTTAGCAAAACTGTGTTATCTCTTCAATTTTAAAATAAGTATATCTATGTCCACAAAAAACCTTGGTGGAATT